TTCGTCCACCCAAGCTGAGACTACAACTCAGTGCTTCACCCTTCTCTTCTTCTTCCTATAGTAGGACCACAGCCTCATGACACCTCTTACCATCAGCAACCCAGCAACTTTTGCTGACATTTACTGACAATATGCTCTAAGCTGCACAGGAATCCATAAAAGACATGTATACACAGAGTGGATGGACAGAATCACTGCTGACCCCACATGGTAGTACTGGGTCTATAAAAAGCACGCTAAAATCACTCTTCCATCTGGTGTTGGAGTTATTTATGCCATTGAAGGCTGTCAGAATTGTCACAGAGTGCAGTAATTTGGTATTTTTTTATAAGTATTTTATTTTCTGATGAAGCTGAGGCAAGTTGTGCAGTGAAACATAACTTATAGTAAAGTTAAATATGAGAAATCAATATTAAAGTACCTGGGGTTTGTTTTTTACTTTTTTTAACAGCCAAACCCAGTTGGTACAAATGAGAAAAATTAATTTTTTTTAATTGATGCAAACATGCACTTTTTTGAAGACATGTAGCCAACAGAAAACTTTTCCCTGTCTCCACATTTAACTTCCATCTAAACTTACCCCATCAGGTGTAAAACTAAGTTACAAAACAGCAGTTCACCATTGTACCTCAGATAACATAAACCTGCAAACGTTTCTAATTCATGAACTCACGAGTTCACGGCCAATGTCAGTTCAGTTCATGACTAACAGTTCATTAACTCTGTGGGTCCAGGTCTTTCTTGGTTGTACATTGCTGGGTTTTTCAATGTTGGTGGTTTAATTTGCAATAAACTGCAATAACTTGTGTTCAATTCGCAATAAACTGCTTATCTCTGAGTTGGACTGGTTGTGATGTGTGGATTTCTTCTAACCTGGGCAGCAAACAGTGAGAGAAGAGGATAGCAAATGGGTACCTCAGCAACTACTTGTTATATAAGCAGCACTAAAACTAGAACGAAAATGTTTGTTGAGGGAGCCTGAAAGTTTTGGTCTTGTCTACTGGATTTGTTTCCCTGTTAGATAGGATTTCTCACCCCCTTATGCTCTGGGTCTTGCAAGAAGGAAAAGGTTGCTCAAATGCAAGAGTGTGCAGATGATGTGATTTGATTTCCCGGCTTTCTGGATGATGGATCAGGCTTATCCATTTTGTCAGCACGAATCCTTGTGTAATTGAACTCAGTCCCTTTATGATGCTAATCAGTGTCAGGCAAAAGGATTACAGTAAAAAATGCAGATTGATAGCTGCTAACAGGAACCTGCCTGATTCCTCCCTTACACAGCTATGGAGATACACTGGCATTTGCCTGCACAGGATAAGTTTGGCTAGCATGACTTCAGAGGAAAAACAACCCATGAAAGTGATGACTGCAAGTTGCAACTCTTAAGTCTTTGTGGTAGCAAGAAGCAGCAGACAGCTAAGCAAATCACAGAACACAGATAATTTCTAGGGCAGCTCTCTCCTACACAGTGAATCAAAATCATATGAAAATGAACGTATGTGATCCTGAAATTAATGACTGTATCCTAACAGAAAGTCAGGTGACATTTAAGTCTGCCCAGGTAACTGTAATTGGAATATTTCCTAACTTTTGTAGGGCCATGTGTTTGATATTTGTGAATTTAATACTCTTATAGCCTTTCTAGACTTGCATAAACCTGTCAAATACTGCATCTTTAGACTCATGTTAGAGAATGTGTTTTAATTTAACCACAAGAAAAACTTCCCACAGAAAGGGAAACTAAGGCAGTAGTTCCATCTGATATCAGGGAATCTTTGTGAAAGAACTGTGGTTTACAGCTTTCTTCAATATCTCTTCCTCAAAATATGGGAGGCAGAGGAATGTGGACAAGAGCAAACTGAGGAGGACAATGAGATGTTTGATTAGAGCAGCCATTTCAGGTTGATATGTACTGTGCATTGAAGATGTACCATGCATGATGGCTAAACTTTCTTTTTCAAAAAGAGAGTTCAAAAGTAGAGCTGCTTTTACTTGCCTGATGTGTTGTGTATTTTGTCACTGTAATATATGGCAGATATGAACATTATTGTCTGCTTTAAAGGTGCTCAACATCCTTTACAAAAGTATAATAAACAGATGCTGACATGGTATCAGGCTCCTCTGGACCACCACTAGGTTCATCAACACCTTGAATATGGCACAAAAAACCTGACCCTAGTATTTGGTTCATGAACAAAGTGATGATTACTGCTTCAGTGCTGAAAATAAGAGTTCCCCTATAGCTGTACTAATTTTAGCTACCCATGTTAGCAAATTAACAGTACCCGCAGACATGACGGGATCCCTTCTGAGGTCACACAAAGTGATGTTTGGGTTGTGCAGGCTTTTGAAAAGTGTGTCATTGTGTTCCAGGTATGTGTGGGCGCTTTGGTACTGCTTACTGTATTCTCTGGCTTCTTGCCAAAGTCTTTGATTTCCACTTTAATTGCATACTTCAGAGGAGCAGTTAGAAACATCTCCTTATCAGAGCTTCCCAGATGCTGCTGGCTCTGGCAGGAGGGTTTCAGAACAGGCCATGTTTTCTTATTCCCTGTGCTGGAGGGACCATCGACAGGGTCTTTATTCAGTTACAATTCTCCTTTACTTGAGTAGCTACCAACTGAAATCTGGAGTTGTTTTAATGTTTTAAGTTAACCAGTTGCTTAAGTAAGTAATGGGTATGTTAGGTTATTAAAAAAAAAAAACCAAAACCACCCATGAACAACTTTAAAAGGCTGCTGTAGCTTACATTTCTGAACTTTGCTTTGATCAAACCGTATGAGCTTTTTTTTTATGAGCTGCCCAAAGAAAGCAACTTTGCATTAAGTTTGTCTAAAGATGAGATCTTCATCAGTGTCTCAGGGTTCACAGTCTGAGTTCATTTGTGATGTCCCCCTAATGAGGGACCACTTACCATGACAGCCTTCAGGTACTTCTGGAGCCATTAGAGGATGACCTGGCACAGGATCTCTGCTCAGTCATGATACTGGTCCTGCAAGCCTTGTATAAAATCTCCAGACACATTACGACTTGGCAACTGGATTTATGTGTCTGTTAATGAATATGTAATTGCTACGGAGACAGATGTCTATGCAAAGTACAAGGCAAGAGGAAATGCAGCCTGAGGCAGCCAGTGAGGTTATTTTAGTCAATGAGTAAGTGCAGCCTCTGTTCCTCCTCAGGCCCAGTCCTGTGGTCCTATGTTCTCCCACTCTCTCTGAGACTGCAGGCTGTGGATGATATTTACGGCTCAGGAGGGTCAGAGAATTTGGAATTTAATTCCCAGCTCTGTTCTGCATAAAATCATATGCCCAGTTCTGCAAGAGCATGCGCTCCTCAGCACGCCGGCGCCGTCAGGGACTCTGCGGGACCACACCAGATACGGCAGAAAGGAGCCCTCTTCTGGAATGAGGCCACAAAGCCGGATCTCGCTGCCTGTGGAAAACTATGGCAAGGGGTGTAACAGAAGAGTCTGTGACTTAAGCTCCTCGTCTGAGAAAAGAAAGCACATTTTGAATCTCTTGTTCTCTCTCCCTTTCCTAGTCATCCTAATCTTTGGTTTTCTTGTCTGTTGAGAAACGAGCTACCAGATGTTGGAGAACTATCTATTCTTATCACATGATTGTATTTGTGAACAGTAATGATCAACCCAGGTCTTAGCACTGTGTGCAGATAGGCAGATTTTTCTCTCATATGACTCACTTCACATTTGTTTACACTCTACTGCATTACTGCCTTGTTGCTGTGCTCTGTTCAAAGTGAAATAGGAGAAATTCCTCTGCTCTCTGTAGAAAATGTAGCTATAAAAAGCGGGCTGAGGGTAGGAGGAATGTACACAAGTTTTTTTCAGGTTTGGAATATGTGATTTCCACCAAATGATAAATGTCAGTGTGAAGATGGAAGATGCTAGGTATAAAACGAGGGCAGAATGACTCTACTCTTGAAACAAGGTTACAAACTGCAGCTCTGAGACCTTCAAGATACAGAAGTGAAGACTTACATCATGCAACCAGCAAGAATTTGCCTCTTAACTCTAAAGTGCCACTCTCTTGAGCCTAACATTTATATTATTATTCTAATATTCTGATTTATAATATTACTTTTTATTTGCCTTATTCTTTGCTTAGTGGACTCTGAATAAGCCTATCAAAGAGTATAAAACTGAAAGAAGAAAGAAAAAAACCCTTAATCTCAAAGATATTTTAATGGAATTGTGCTGTGATAGCGTGTGACCACAATTCAAAAGTGAGGGAGTAATTTCATAGGAAAGAGATTTGTGTCCTGCTTTGTGCCTAGAAAGATGTAGTGCTCTTAATTGGTTTAGAGACTATACGGTAATGATCGAGATAGACTTAAATCTCAAGATTAGCTTTAAAAACCCTGCAGAGCAACTCTGGTAAAAGCAAATGTCAAGAAATAGGTATGAAAACTTATCTGAGTTTTGCATTCAAGTGTCACCAAATACACTATTTTAGATTAATACGTTCCATTTCAACATGACGTTTATGGTTCACTGTGACCTACAAACAGAAATGACTGCACATAGACAGCCAGTTTGGAAACTATATGTTATGAAAACACAACCAAAGCAAATTAACTGACTTTGAGCCTAGAGTTAAGAACAAAAGATGACTCGCAGAGCATGGTCTTTGGCATTTTAGTCAGGTGAAAGAACTATATGCCAGTCTCCATGAAAATGAAAACAAAACTGCATCTAGTTGGCGAATAATACACATTCACTGAAGACAGTAATTTGTAGCTGGCAAATGAACTCCATTTTTTGTTGGACTTGCCAGAAAATCCTCATTAATTCAATTAAGTCATCTTCCTCCATCAAGGTAATTTGATTTCCATCTGTGGAAAACAACTGCCAAAACCTGATTGTATTAAACAATTACCAGAAATTAAAAAAAAATAATAATTAAATAGCACTAAAATTCCAGAAACAATGTAATCACAATTTATTGGAAAATGTGTAATTTGGAGGAAAAAGAACATACCTTAGACAGTGGTTTCTTCTGAGCACAATTTATACCTCCAATAAAGACCATATTGGGCATCACTGGTCTGACATACTCAAACACAAAGTCAAATCTCAGAAGCCAAACAGAAGCAGAGTTCAGGAGGTCGAGCAGGGATACATCTCTCTGAAGAACTTCAGAGGAAAACTTTACTGCTTCGTCATAGAAACCGTTACAGTACCTAAGCTCCAGGAGGGAAACCAATGCATTTTCCACTCGCTGGAAAAAAGTCATGTGATCTGAGTTGAAGGTAAATAGTCTCGGGATGTAGGACAGAGGACTTGGGCACTGCGGTGCTTTGTAGTGTAAGTTGCAAGGAAATCCTCTCATGAAGAACACAAACGGAAGAGAAAAATACTTAGCAAGTGTTGCTCCGCACATAAAAACGGGATCTGTTAGGATAGCATCAAAGCTGCTTTGATTCAAGTACTGCAGGGTCTCCTTGCTGCTGAACAGGTCCTTGCACTGAGAAAAGAACGTATGGAAAACATGCACTGAGCTGTTGTACATTGCTAGAGTGTTCAGTGGGAAAGGCAGGTCCTTCAGGTGAGTGGTAACATACTCATGAAAGGCATTATTCAGCTCTTCTAATGTGTGAGACACAGGGTATGTTTTCACCGTGTATGCCTGTGTTGTTTTCATATGCCAGGTTACTTCTGGTACAACCACCACCACTTCATGTCCTCTCTCGACGAGTTTTTCAACCACTTGTTGCATGCTAAGCCAGTGGCTTCCAACCATGGGCACCACCAGGAGTTTCCCTCCATCTGAGAGGCCAGGAAGAAGGAGGATAAAAATCCAGGCACAGCAAAGCCTCAGAGTCATGTTCCTGTCGTCAGAGTACAGACTGTGGAAGAGTATTCTTCAGGCTGTAGCTTGAATATGCTTTTGAAAGAAGCTGATGGCTTTATCAGAGGCATTGTGCTGCTCTGTCATAATCTTCTAGTTAATGATTCACTGCTTTGGACTATAGATGATTTGTTGTTTTTTGTTTTTTTTTCTTCTTCTCATTACTTGTAAAGCCATATGTGGTGACACTTTCCTGTGCTGAGTCATCAGAGTTCCTTAGTGTTCAACAGCGAACTAGCTCCTCAGTATGCCAGTCAGATTTCTTAGGACTTCTCTCTTGCTCGTTGATGTGTCCAATCTTACACCTTGGCCAGGACCAAGGAATATAAGTCTGGTGCAAACAACTCCAACACAGTACCAAATGAGAACAGCCTCAACAAATTTCATTGTGATTCGAGACATGGATGTTCAGATAATTTCTCTGAGGACAGAACAGGAGACCCTCAGGATTAAGGGGAGAGGGCAGATGAACCAAATCTTCTGAGCTAGTGAGAATGTCCAGAGTCTACAGACACCAAGAAGAGACATTGAGAGAGGCTGATCTGGCAGCTGAGGCAGAGATCTGTGAAGCTGAAGCCCAGGTTCTTGCTGCAGAGAAGCAATGCAGTTGTTTCACAGGCTGCAAGATGGCCCTCTCAGGCAGCTGAAAACTCCTCACCACTTGCCTATACATCAGGTAGAGGCCAGACATAGGACAAAATGTGTTTTAAGGACTACTACTCCTCATGTGGCTTGGACCGCTCAGTAGAGCCTCGGGTGTGAGCCCAGGTATCGGACCTGACTTACCTCACAAGTAGCTTCAGGCACAAGCATGGGCTTGTAAGAGCCATCAGCTTCACAGCACTGCTTTTGATGTTATTGATCTGAAAAGATTAGATGCCTAAATGGCACCATGACATGGAAAAATAATGAAACAAGGATATTTATAGAGCCATGCAGTCTCTGTCCCTCAGGAACACTTCTTTTCTCTCCTTCTGTACCATGGTCAATGCAATGAAACTGATTAGGTATCGTTTTCTGCAAGTTTTCCTATCAGTCTTTTTATTTATTTTTTCCACTTTACCAATGCCTGTAACTTTTTTCTTGTGTAGGGAAACGACTGAGTAAGCGGCAAAATGCAGTTTTCTTTCAGCCACTTGATAACTTTTCTGAAGACAAAATATTTGACCTTCAGAACTGGGGGAGAAGTTCTGAGAGAAAAATGAAAAAATACTCTCAGGACCTTTTATGCTATTATAAACTGTAAGAAAAATAAAAAAGAGTAATAACTAAAACATGTTATTATTTCCAGCTTTCTATAAACTGCACTTAAACATGATCTTTGGAATTTTTTTTTTTTTTTTTTTTTTTTTTTTTTTGGCACCCTCCCATTGGTTGAAGAGGGGTAAGCAGACATCTGTTAGGGAAATGTCCTGTCCTCCCCTCCCTTCTGCAGCAGAACAAATTTGCCATCCAATCCTTCCAGCACTCTTAACGTGAAGGAAGTGGGTGCAAAAGCAAGCACAGCTCAGGCAAAGTTAATCAGTACCTTAGAGGCATTTCTGAGTGAGAGTTTGCCAGCAATTTGCTCAGTTGGGTTGGTTATCTGGCAAGGGTTTCCTGATGAGTTAAACTTTGCTGGGTTCAAGGGAGTGCAAGATAAAGAGTTGCTTACCTCTCACACATGGTCATCATTGCAAGAAGACAGTGGGAACTCTGAACTTGGGTAAGAAGTCACATGGCTGGGGGATGCTGGGGGGTGCATGGACAAGCAACCCCAAGAGAGAGGGGCTGTGCTGGATGGCTGCAGCAGGAAGGAGAGACATTGTGCTGGCACGACTGCTGCCTGTGGCTCTGTGGCCATGTTGGCATGATGCACATGATCACAGCAAAACTATAGGGAGAGTTACGGCTGGCAGCAAGTGAGGTGCCAGCTGAGTTACTCGACTTGGTGGCAGCATTAGGAAGGCAGCAGTGCACACCTCCTTATTTCAAAGAAGGAGTTTATCTCTGATTACCGGGCAGGCTCCCTTGTATTTAAAACCCCAATGGTGGTACAAGCCCTGGACAGCACCTCATGGGGCAACATGACCTCAGGGAGGCAACTGGCCCAGAAGAGGCAGGAGAAGAAGAAGCCACAGCCTCTCTGAGGGCTCTTCCTTGCAGTGGAGTGCCTTGTGCTACAAGGCTGGTACATAGAGCTTCATCCCTGGCTATGTTTTTCAGAAAGCTTCAGCAGGGCCTGGCCTTGGTGATGGTCTGAAAGATTTGGATCAGGGCAGAGATGTGTTTCTTTCCTTCTCTGCCAGGTCTACTACCAGGCAGAAGCTGGGCTGGGGCAGGCTGGGCCTCCAGAACAAGAAGGAATGACCTCAAGCTGCACTAGGGCAGGGTCAGACTGGCTCTTAGGAAGCATTTCTTTCCAGAAGGGGTTGTTGGGCATTGGAATGGGCTGCCCAGGGCAGGGGGGGTGTCCCCATCCCTGGAGGGGTTGAAGAGTCGGGTTGACCCAGCGCTGAGGGATCTGGTGGAGTTGGGAATGGTCAGTGTGAGGTTCATGGTTGGACTGGAGGAGCTTCAAGGGCTTTTCCAACCAAGATGATTCTGTGATTCCTCCTGATGCCTGCTAGCTGATGCCTGCAAGCACTTGGTGCTAACTGCTCTAAGGGGTCTCAGATAAGAATACACCCAAGGACAAAATTTTTGCAAGTGTCATGGGTACATCCTGGGGAGGGCAGAGAAACCAGCAGACACCTGTGGTAATCAAAGATAAGAAAGCTGAGAAACTTTACAGAGACAGCAATGAGCCGAGGCCTTATATGAAAAAAACCTCAAGAGTTCATGGAAAGGACACTTAAGAGACATCTCTTCAACAACCACTAGAGACCACCATGGACCACTGAAAACCCCCATGGAAGCCCCTCAGAGACCCTTCCCCAGATTTTAGTACGCTTGCTCAGTGTATTAACATATGCACTAGATCCTCTGGAAAGAGGTGTGTACTTCTTGGAAATTACATGAATATTCATTTATTTTATTGTATATAATGTGTGCTTTTGTCTTTTGGCATGCACGTTAGGTGGAGCGATCCCCCGTGCATCCAGCACAGCAATACAGAATGCCTGCCTTCTAAAAACTTCAAACTAAGCCTTAGGGGGTTCTTTTGGGCCTAAATTTAGTTAACACTCCGGGCCCTCGGGCCGCCGAGGCAGCGCAGGCCGCGGGGTCTCCATAGCAATCCTTGCCGCCGTCCCCCCCGCGACGGGAAGGTGTTCCCCCCGCCACCGGCAGGCCGACTCCCAGCATGCACCTCGGCCGGCGGGAAACTACATCCCCCATAAGGCCTTGCAGGGCTCCCTCCGCTGGCGCTGGGACGCTGTGGCGCTGCACTACCACTCCCGGCAGGCCCCGGTGCCGCTCGGTCTGCGGTTCGCATCGGCGCTCGTTCCCGGCATTTCCTTCCCGCCCCTTGCGGGAGGTGTCCTTGGCTCTGTGGAGCGAGGGGGCGCCGCTGGTCTCTCGCCGGGGCTTCGCCAGGTTGCGTGAAGTCCCGGAGCCGCGGCGGCCTTTAGGTCCCAGCGTGCTTTGCGCGGCGCCCCAACAAACATGGCGGTGGCCGCGGGGCCGTGGCGGTAGGCGCCGGCCCGGCTCCATGTGCTGACTCTGAGCGGTGAGTCTGGCTAGGCGGCGGCGGGGGACAGTGCCCCTCCAGCCCGCCGCGCTGTGGGCCGGCCGGCCGGCCGGGCGGCAGGCCCAGGGCACCGGTCCTTCGTCTTCTCTTCGGTGCCGGTGAGACCGCGTCTAAAGACTGAGCTCAGCTCCGTGGGACTCCAGGGCTGGAGCATATGGGAGGGGGAGCCAGGTGAGTTCATGCTGGAGAAGGAGAGGCGAGGTGAAGACTTTACTACTGTCGGGAGGGCATAGCTGCAGCCTGATTCTTGTAGGGAGTGTGCTGGGGTAGGATGAGAAGTGCGAGACCGAGTTACAACATGGGAGGTTCCCATCAGACATCAGGAGTATAGGGCAGGGACTTAAAGGGGTTTGGGGATCTCCTTTCTTGGAGTTATTCTAACTTTAGCAGGACAAGGCCCTAATAAGCGATGTGCTCAAAGTTGACCCTGCTTTGTGAGGGCATTGGACCAGAGACTTCATCCAGAGATTTGCTCTAATCTATATTATTGTATGATTTTTACTGTATGATTTTTAAGGGAAGGAAGCCGCTAGCAGCAGAGCTTTGCGGATTGAGAAATAAGGAGCGAGGGAGGATTTGGCACTGTCCTGCTGAAGTGCTTCTCTAGAGTGGTGGGTGGATACAGCAGACTGTTAGTAAGATGATTGCTGTCTCCTAGATATATGCGTTTTTATGGTGAACTAACCTATTAGAAGCAAGCTGTTGTGCATTTGGATGAGGAAAACGGGACGGGTCCTAATCTTTGGGTGGCTAAATACTATAAAGTTCAGTAGGTCTAGCTGGAAAAATGAATGAAGGCTGCGAGACAGTTTGGGAAGAGTACTAAAGCTGGTAATTTTTTCTGAAGCATGGGAAGTGGGACCTTTACAAACTTTTTTTTTTTTTAGGCAGTCAATGTATAAGAGCTAGACAAGTCTAATGTGAAGAGATAAAAATTATTTCTTTCCTATTTATGTTTATTAAGAAGTATCCCCAGCCATGTTATTTTATTTTGTGGGGGTTTATAGGGGCATATCTATTGTATGAAGTGCTAAAGAAGCATTACTGAACAAGCAGAGAGAACACTGCTATGCTGCTTCATAGTCAGCTGCTCTGAGTGTAGCCTTTTGCCTAAAAACTGCTCTACTGTGGGAAGGACTAAAATGGGCTTAATGTAATGTTATTTTATAAAAAGAGTTTAGGAGTTGCCTGATGAACTGCCAGTTGGTTGAAGCTATCAACTACATTCAGATTTTCAAGAGGCATTCAACAAGGCTTGGCACTGAAAGCTCTTAAATTAAACTGACACAGGAGAAGAAATTTGTTGCTTGATTCA